CGCTGGGGGGCCGCCGGGCCGTGCCGTTCCCGCGTCCCGGCTGTGCCCGGGACTCCGCGGGGCCGGGGCCGGGGCCGGGGCGGCTGACAAGCGGGAGTCGCAAGGGAGATGCGCCCGGAGATTGCAAGTCGAAATCCGCCGCGTGGTGTTGGGGTCCCCGCAGCGGAGGGGCCGCGGCAGCCCTCCCCCGCGCTCCGAAACCAGAGGAAGCGAAGCGCTGGCGCTTTGCAAGAGGCGCCTCCAGCGCAGCCAGGGGGCCTCGCAGCTAAACCCGTGAGAACTGCTGAGCCAGGACGTGTTAAACCTCTCCCGCGCTCGTCTCTCCTGTCCCTTGCCCCGGAAAACGGGAGGAGGTTTCAGAGCCTCGGTTCTGGCGCCTTTCGGCTCTTTGAATGTTTGCGTTTGGGGGAAGGCTTAACTCCAAAGAGTGTCCTTGGTTTAGTTCATTAAAAGAACAAAACAAAACTTCAGTTATTTTTCCCAGAGTTACTTATTTGTCCAGCAGTTGACGGTGTGCCTGTGAAGCTGACCGGCCGTGATTTCAGAGAGCTGAACAAGTGCCTTGTATACAGATAATGCGAAGTACAAGTTAAAACAAAACGACAAGCAGAATGAAGACCATGGCAATTAAAGATAATCTGTGACGCACCTACTCTGATGCACTTATTTTTTTTTATTTAATGGAGACTCCCATGAAAATAAACACCTTGCATCAGTATACTAGACCAGTCCTGTGACCATTGGGTCACACCACCTCAGACATGCTTCCTCTTCACTGAGAAAATAAGAATAAAACTGTGGGAGTCGGGACAAATATTTTGTGATGATTGGGATGGCTGAGGCTCTACAAGGACTTCATCTCAAAGTCCGTATTTAGCCAAACTTTTGCAGATGCCAGTGAGAAGCTTGCCTGAATACAGGCTATGTACTGTACAGAGCCCACTGTCGCTGACAATGGTTGAAATATTCCCCATGGCACTCTGGGCAGATGTGTCTTCTTCCAGCCAGGAAGCAGGTGTCATTAATCCTGCAGAATCTGGCTCTGTCAGTACAAAGTCCAGTTTCTGCTTCCATCTATGCAATATGCTCCAGCACTCTTCATCCCCTTGCACAGAGCTATTCTGAGTAGAAGGGACTGTTGGTGATTCTCAAGCAGGGTGACCCAAGAGCCTTTCCAGGGTGCCCTGGGGTACTACTCAATATGAGTACTGTTAGGTGTGCAGACATGATGTACATGATAAAACCAGGATTTTCAACTAAGAATCCAGTGTTAAAAACATTCTGACCTGTTGTAGTCTTTCTGCATCCCTTGCAACAGAAGAGCTGTTCTGCTATTCTTCCGTAATCAGTGAACACCAACCCTTTGGCTGTGGCATATGCAAGATGATGTTATGCTCTCAGTCCAGTTTCTAGTACAGAACTACTGTAAGAAGTGTGGGTGTCATAAGTAGGGCATGGGAGCAGGCTGCTAGAGATCTAGGCTTGTTGCTCGTGCTAATCTATATTTCATGTATGATACACCTCTGTGCCTTTACCCAGTCTGTGAAATGAGGCTATTGGCATTTTATTTTAAGCTTTTAAAAAAGGATGCTGTTGTCAATATTTGCAGGATGTTTGAATACTAGCAGAGAGAGGTGAAAAGCAGGGAATGTTCAGGTTATACAATCTGCCGTCCTTACTGTTGCATTTGTTCCTAGTTTCTGCTGAGGAGACCAGGTTCACTGCCACAGTCAAAAGTTTCCTGTTGCCTGTAGAGGTGGTTCCTCCAGATGTTGGCAGGGCACTGCAGAAACTCATTGCTCTTCCATATGGGATTTGGGGCATGTCGGCAGGGCGCGGTGGGGAGGCTTGCATTCATACTACCCATTTTGTTTGAGTTCTCTAACCCAAACTAAAAAAGGTTTTGTCCTCCAGGACTGTCAGCCTAGTACATCTCAAGGGGACTCAATAATATGTCAGAATGAGAACTGCTTAGTTCTGATACTCTCGGAGAGTGTATTTGGTACCTGTGTTGGTCTGAGACAAGAAGACATACAAAAAACTAGAACTCTCTTGCGATTTCCCAGTTGGTCTAGTAAAAGGCATCACTTTGGAACCAAACATTCTAGTTTTTTGTGTGATACTCTCAGAGAGCAGTTTCCTCCCCTGCCGTGACCTTACATTTTCTGATCTTTGGGCCTCTGCCCTGAGCTGTTGTTGTGCATCCCTTTGTGTATTTGGGAGATAGCTTTGGATTATTTATGTAAGATGTGATAGAAATGTAACTTGGAGAAGTGGAAAAAAGTGTGCACCAACATCTTGTAGCATGGCTCATGTCTCCTAATAAGAAAGGAAAGGCCTAAATTAGCGCAGCTTTCCTTTTTTATGTAAGTAATTTAATTGAAATTTGTCTAAAAAAAAATTAGGTACAATTTTATTCTTTGGAGACCTTTCCTCCTTGTTAGTTGCTGCAGTCTGATTAGGATAAAATGTTGTTTGAAAGGAAAACTCTGTGAGATTCACCTGACTGAACCCTGATTTGTTTAGGAAAAATCTTGTAAAGAGAGACTGTTCTGTCAAAGTAGAAAGAATGTCAAATGTATAAAGTTACATGAACTTCCTGTTAAATAACATCAAGAGCATAATACCAAACTCGATGTTTCCTACAAATTATGTCTGTCTTCCTCTGATATCCTCTTTTAAAAAAAGAAGACAACCTGATTCTGCATTTGGCAGAAATACTGTATACTTTTCAATGATGTATATATTTGGGAGTCGAGAGGGAAACTGCACTACAATAAAAACTCGTATTTCCCAAATTCTGTCAGCGCATGGTTCTGAGGAGGTTAGTCAGTAGCACAGAATTTTATAGATCAAGGGACGCAGAGAGATTACAGTTGATTTAACTTTCCTGAAAAGGAAGGAGCTCATTGTAATCGGAAAGATAATTGAACGCAAGTACAATGCAAAATGACCAATGTCTTAACTATAACTTAATGTTGTAGTTAACTTAGTTAACTATAACTTAATGTTAACTGCCATCTTCATAGTCTGCCATAAAACAAGATTCAGAGTTCAAATTCACCCGTGAAGCGAGCCGATCAAATGATGTTGAGTTTAGGGGAGTTGCATCCACTTGCATCAGAACTGAATTTATCTTGAGGAATTTGGTTTCTGTTCAAATGCTCATTAATCCTGCAAGGTAAGTTTTTTTTTTTTGGGGGGGGGAAGGGTTAACTAACTAGATGCAAGCAGGGAATCTTGTGCCTTGTTATGCCTTCAAGTGAGATCTGCATTCCTTGCCTCCGCCTTTGCATAACTGGGAAGGGTCTTCTGGAGAGAAGAACAGTGAATGGGAACTTGTAACAAGCCTTCATTTACAATTCCCGGGCTAGTGAAACAAGTGACAGTGACTAAAAATTTACTTCAAATCTATATTCTTATCCATGTGAATTCTGCAGGGAGTTGTGCACAGGATAGTCATCATCCTGATGCCTTATCTAATTTACATGCACACACTGCTACTTGCTTTGCAGTGATACCTATTAATCCACTAATTAAAGGGGTTATTATCTTTGAGCTCTGTGCACCAAGTGACTGGTTTTTTTTTCCCTAAGCCTTGAGATGAAGAGCAAGGAAAACATGGCATTGCAACTAATGTTCAAGCCTGACCTGGTCATGGTCTGGTGGTGGGTACTTGGGGCACAAAGAACAGACTGCATGATCCTGACTTCTGTGTCAGATACACTGTGATCGCTACTTGTTATAGCAATTCACAAAAAACAAATATACAAACTTACTACCAGCCACCAGCAACAGATCTGGAACAGAGCTTGAGAGCTGCTGGAGAGAATTTCACTGACTCCTCAGATGGTCAGACTGCTCTTGATTTCCCCCCCCCCCCCCCAACAACTCGTAATTCTTTAATAAAAGTTGAGTGGTTTGTGAAGAGCACTCCAGTTGGACGCCCCTTGAGACTGATATGATTTGCAACTGTCATATTACAAATTGTTGCATTTCCTACCTGCCAGGAGCTGAGGTGCAAGTTAAATGTCCGTCTACAACAGAATGTGACTGAAAATTTAAAATAACATGGGAACCTGTATTCTCTTCAGCTACAGCCATGTTATCAGTTGTTGAAGGAGAAAAAATAAACCCTGATTTTTGTCTTGGCAGATACTCATTTTAGTACTTTAGTTCCCCTACCTCCACCCCGCCCCCTTGTTTATAGTGTCTGAGGGTCTGACAGTCTTTAATGTATTTATCTTCATGTGTCTCCGGGAGGGGGTGGTATTATCTACCAGTTATGGAAGAGCAGCAGAAGTATAGAAGCAAGCATAGGGCAAACCCAGAAGTGAAGACTAGAAGTAGATCCTTGTGCTCTAACCTCCTTCTTCAGGAGTATTGAGAATTGCTAAGCATGAGTTAGGTCAGCACAGGGGTGGGCAAAATGTGGCCCGGGGGCTGGATGCGGCCCGCCAGACTTTTCTATCCAGCCCGCGGGGTCCCTCAAAATTAAGAAAATTAATATTTATCTGCCCCTGGCTACCTGTCGTGCGGCCCTTGATGGCTTGCCAGAACTCAGTAAGTGGCCCTCAGCTTGAAATAACCGCCTGGCCCTGGGTTAGCAGAATCTGTCCCACACGCCTGCTTAAAATGACAAGTTTTGCCATATTGTTAGTTAAAGTATAAAGTTTCCCTGTGCCCCCCTGCCTCCCAGCATTGTTAACATGTATACAAGATACAAAAATCACCATTGTAGCTTATTTGGGCTGGGGAACCAAAACAAGGTACACCAGTATAAGGCACCTTAACATTAATATACTTGTATCTAGATTTAGGTTTTTACTGGCTTCTGGGCTTTTACTGGCTTAGGTGTCTAGGCAAAATTCACACTCCTGTCAGTGCTATCAATAATACTTAAATACAGACCAGCCCTCAGTATACAGTAGGATTGTTTGTTTGATTGGGGGCTCCAAGAACAGGCTAACTATGCTAATGATATGGGATCCCAAAGAGTTTAACAATTCTACAGCTCTTTTGTGGAAAAAAATTAGCATGAGAATTGCCACATTAGGACAGATTATTGAGTCCAGGCACTGACCTCCCAGCATTTGCTGATGTTAAATGCTTCAGTTGTAGATCTATGATAGGCACTTAAAACTTAAATAATAAGTTTTGTCTTGGCTGCTTGCTGTGCCTTGGAAATGTGAAAAAGCATGCTGCTAGGTGCAACAAGAAAGAGATTTGTGGCACACCCAACTCTGGAGAAACCTGACCAGTAAATGGAATCACTGTACGCATTTATCCACAACCATCTAGTGGTTCAGAGAAGCAAGTATGTCAGGAACCTACTGGTAGGGACACGTGAGGAGTGATATTATTCTGAATTTGTACAGCACCTATCACAATGGTAACCTTGCTCCTAACTGCATATTCCAGGTGCTACTTAATGCAAATACATATCATATATGTTTGGCTTCTTTAATGTTACTAAACTATTTGACTCCACTGTAGTAGTGAATTCTGTAAATTAGTTGTGCACAAAAAGAACATGCCTTCTATTGTATCTTTTTTTTCACCAATCTAGTTAATATAAAACAAGCATATCTACGTGCATCTGGTGTACTGAAGCCATGTTTTTTTTAAACTTCTGATTAAAAGATGGATATAGAAAGGGACTCGAGCAGAGAATGTAAGAGGCATCCGATTAATCAGGAGATGAAGCGACTATGATTTTGTAACTACAGGACCTTCATAGCACAAGTGGTGCTCTCTGTTAGAGGCTTTTGTGCAGGCCCGAGCATCCCTATTTCTTGTGTGATTTGACTGGCTCTCCACTTCAGTGTCGTGATGGTCCATGCATCAAGTACCTCTCCTCCTCATGAAGGCATTGCTGTGCAGCTGGAGGAACAAAAACCCCAGTTGTAGAGCACTGATTGATGTTGAAATGCAAAAAGGCTTGAACCCTACATCGCTGTTTTTACATGGCTATATGTTGTCACTTATGCTACTTAAGTGTTGATTTCCTGTAGCATACTTACTGAAAGTTGTTACTTACTGCTAAGTTTTGCAGTTGTTCTCTCTGCATTATGATCTTTCAGCTTCCTTCTTTGCCTCTGTTCATTTCTGCTTCCCTCCCTTTTTTTTTTTTGCTCCACACTTTTCCCTCCTACTCCTCCACCCTCCCTTGTACACACCTCACACCCTTTCTTTTTCTGATGGTGTTTGCCATTAAATATATTGTTGAATCTTGTCTATGTACAGGATTGTAGTAGCTGTAGAGATCTGTGCTAGTTCTAAAACATATGCTGTCGCTAATGAGGCTGAAGCTTGGTTTATCTGCTTTGGTTGTTTTCCCTGTCTGTTTTGGCCGAGGGACAGAGGTGATTTAATACTTGTTGGTCAAAGGGCCTCAGAAGCAACCTTGGAATAAAGATAATCCACAGTAGTCAATTTTTAGCAGAACCCAGATTCACATCACACATACTAAAGCAAATTAATTATCTGGAATCTTCTTTTTTTTCCAGTTGGGAATCTAGTAGTTTGCCATCCTTTATTGCCCCTGATGTGAGCCATGCTTGATTCAGGCCTTGAGCAGAGGTAACATGACCTCCTGGATTACTAGCACCAGGGAAGGGAGTGGCAATATTGACACTGATATTGGTTGTAGGAAGATCAAATTGTAAAAGTGACTATGGGCACTGACAGGTGTTCGGGGCCCCTGCTCATCTAAGTCATGGCACCATGAGTTAGAGCCAACCCTCCTCCCCCCATTAGGAAAGGTGAGGGGGCAGGACTGAGCCTGCCTGCAGGTGATCAGTAAGCCCAGGAGCTGCCCCTCTCCTGGAGGGGGAAGCCTGAGCTGCTGGCTGGCCTGGCCTGAGCTTGGGGGTGGGGGGCAGTGGATTGGAGCCCAGATTCCCACCCCCCCAGCATCCCAGCTGAGGGGTATGGAGGGGGGGGCAGGAAGCAGGGGTGCTCCAGTCTACCTCCCCACCCCCAGCTTGAGTCTGCACAGCCAGCAGCTCCCTACTGCTGTTACGAATCCAGACTCGTAGAAACTTGTTTCTTGCCAGACTTGATGTTAGTGCCAGGTTCCCAACATTTGCAAACCAAACATTTCTAGGACTCTACTTTGGGGAAAAAAATAAATATAAATATATATAATTTCTATGACTTTTTTTTTTGAGTCCTAACTTAATTTGGTTATCTCTAACATTTAAATAAGTTAGTTACTGACCAAGCTAAGACTTCATAAATCAACAAGAAAAAGGGTTGTTAATGTTAAATATGAAGACAACTCCTTTCTGGCTCTTGCTAGTGTTAGCTCTCAGTTCCTTTTGATTTACTAAAGTAAGAGACAAAAGGGCTTCCTCTACATATAACGTAAGCATTGTTGTCTGAATCTGACCTACTAGAAGTTCACTGTCTGGAAAATCCCTGATTTTTTTTTTTAACATTCTTGATATAACACTTATCAGGCTAACAACATTCTTTACCCTTTTACATTTCCAAAATATTGGTACTATATTAGCTTCCCCCCCCACCCCCGAAACATCTTCAGTGTTCTAAGGTTCTCTAAAAATCCACATCAACAAAAGAGAGCACCTCAGTTACAACTCTTAAAACTTTGTTGCAACTTAAATATTTTTCATCCAACAGGTCTGTATAAGTTTGTAGTGGCTGCTGCTGTTTAGGTATTGTTAGAAATATTTACCAAGCACTTCTGCATCTTTCTGCATTGTTGTTAACAATTCTACCGTGTCCCTATAGTAATAAAATATTACAAGAACTGTTTTTGTTCCTGATGTACTTTTAAAAAGCAGATTCTGTCTTATGTCTGTTTGCTCCTCTTTTTGATTTCCCCCCCGCCCCCAATAATCCCTAGCATGTCTTTTATATATCCTGCTATGTATCCATTCTCCTTTCTTCATTTGTTACATGGTTTTTATTTTTATTGTTTTTCCTTTACACCCAAGCCCTGGCATAGATTGAAACTACAGAAACAACATTCTTTCTAAATTGTAGGTGTTTATGTCTTTTGAGCTTCTGGTAAAACTGTTCTTTAACAGTTTTCTGTTGTCATTTACATTTTCCTCTTTGTTTACTCCCCTCTCTCTTTCCCCCCCCCCCCCCCCC